AAGGCTCTGGTAAAAGGTATTTAGTTAATATTTTCGTGACTTCTACAGCAGAAGCTTTGTTTCCATTTACCCCATACAGAGCTCTGGTGGCTTAGTGATAAGAAGCTGCTCTGCAATCCCGAAGGATGCTCCATGGAAGGAGGATGGGTAATTTCCTCCCGTGCGATTCCCTGCCTCTGAAAAACCACTGAGGGTCACCTAAACTAGTGGATTAGAGGTACAATGTTGGGCTACAAACCCAAAAGTATGCAATTCAAATCCACTAGCTGCTCCACTGGGGAAAAATGGGCACTCTCTCCCTGTACAACTGACTGCTTCTGAAAACTCTTGTGTAGGATGAGCTATGAAGTCAGTTCTGACTCTATCATGCACACTACAATCATATAAATACACACACACTGATTGTAATATTTTACTGGAATATGAACGACAATTTACAGAATAAATTAGTTTTTCATTCAACAATTCATAATACTGTTTTGTGACACTGAATGGAGGTATCCAACTCTAACAGCACTTAACTTCCACCGTCTGTCTCTAATTTAAATTCCTTTCTGCCTTAACTTTTAAAGGGGCAACAACTGCCTTTTTTATTTTATGTGGTTAATTATACCAAGAAATATGTACAGACTTGGAGTTGTCACTCAATTTAGAGGTTTATTATTTGGCTCAAAGTTGAGCCAATAGTATTAATTCAGTTTCAGACTTAAAAGGGTCCTAAGTATTATTGTCTTGGGATCCTGTCATCTTTATCAGACAAATAAACCTGGTCTGTCTTATGATTTTTAGTCTGGTTTCTATTTTTTCCACTCTTTGTGGGATTTTTATAGTGACCCTGTAAGGCTGTAGTATGATCTAACTTTTCTGGTTCCAGGGTCATTAAGGCTAGAGTTTGCATGGTCTGTTAGTATATGATTTTCATTTCATATATTTTTTTTTTACTCTTAAAATGTATTTTTCTGGGACTATATATAAAGTATGAGGTACAATGTTGTATGAGTTGTTTCCTAATAAAACATTTCTCAAATTACTTATCTCCTCTTTTCATTCACTGTATGTCTGCATGATGGTAAAACTCCAACTGGTTTTCCAGCTACCAAATACCTTAAATAAACATTGATCAGACAATGAGAAACCAAATCAGAGAAATCCAGATTACTGGGAACTAAACATATTAGCAAGCCAATGAACTGGAATGTTTCATGACATGATGACCTTAAACACTGAAACCAAGATACTGAATCCTGAGGTGTCTGATTTACATGAGGAGCTTCAGTAGCTCCTCTTCTCTTATAAATATATCACACAACTTTGCCAATTAAACTTTACACAAATGTTGAATTTACTGGCATCAATTAAAATCTGCTGTGCAACGTTTTCCATTTCCATGAGTGTTGGCTCTAATGCTTTTCTCCTGTTGTCCATATTAATACAATCTCTTCTAAGTACATTTCTTTTTTCCTTCTCTTTCTTATCAGCAGGGTCATAAGGCATTTGTCCTCTTGTGAGTCACTTAAGTTCACTTTAGCAAAATCCCTCTAGCTGTATCCAAGCTATATAGTAGGCAAGTATCAAAACTTCGTTTACCCTATTGACTATGCAGTATCCCATTATACAGATAGAGGAATCGCATTTTGTTTATCCATTCATTGTTAGGGGGCATATACATTGTTTACACATTTTTTTTTATTATTAATGTATACTGCTGCAATAATCAGTACCAGAGGAATGTCTGTCTGTTTCACTGACTATCCAAAGGTATTTGACTGTGTGGATCACAACAACCTGTAGCTCAATCTGAGAAGAATAGGAATCCCAGAACACTTGATTGTGCTTATGTGAAACTTATAGATGGGTCAGAAAGCAGTCATCAGACCAGAGCAAGGAAACACTGCATGGTTCAAAATCAGGAGAGGTGTATGCCAGGGATGCGTCCTATCTCCATACTTCTTGAGTTTGATGAACACGGGGATTTAATTTATCCTCTTGATTGTGCATTTTCCATTATACTTGCTAGTCTAAATAGATGATAGCTCTTAAGTTTCTATTTTATCCTTAATGACCTTTACCTTTGAGTATGAAGTCTGTCTTGTGTCTTTTCTACACATAAATATCCACTTTTCTCAGTATCATTTGTTAAAGTAGCTGTCTTTTCCTTACAAAATGAGTTCCATCTTGTCAAAACACACTGTCCAGAGCTAGATGGATTTCAGGGCTGTCAATTCTATTCTATTAGTCTATGAACCAGGTGGTACTATGTGTACCAATTAATTACTATGGCTGTGTACTAGGTTTATTACTAAAAGAGTTTTCAGAATTAAGTTTAATCATTTAAGTATTTAATAATTTTAATGAAGATATATTTTCAACTACATAATAACTGGAGTACAAATGCTATACAAGAATACCAGTATCGGTGCAACCACTGTGGAAGGCAGTATGGCGCTTTCTCAAAAAGTTGCAAATAGAGGTACCATTTGACCCAGCAATTCTACTACTGGGAATATACCCCAAAGAGACCATAAATGACATCCACGCAGATGTATGCACACCCATGTTTATCGTGGCTTTGTTCAAAATAGCAAGGAGCTGGAAACAACCTAAGTGCCCATCAACAAACGAATGGATAGAGAAGCTGTGGTATATTCACACAATGGAATACTATGCTGCATTGAAAAACAAGGAACTCATGCAATATTATTCAAAATGGGTGAGCCTGGAGGACATTATGCTGAGTGAAATATCTCAGTCACAAAAGGACAAATACTGCATGGTTCCACTGTCGTAGAATGGAATTGATATCACGGTTGGGATAAGTCAGAGAAAAACTGGATAAATTATGTATACTGCATTGAAACAGATGAGGGAGAGAATAATTTAAAAGCAATATATGATAGGGTATTATAGTTATCACAAGAATCCAGAATTAAGGGTTCATAGTGGAGTGTACCTGGGGTGGTGGGAGGGGGTGTGTGGGGATTGTATATCAAAGAAACAATTTTTCTTTTACTTTCTCAAAAAGAGGAGCAAACTGGGGGGAGGGGCTAGGGGGGAGGGCTAGGCAGGGAGAAAAGTGCAACAATGAATGAATAGAAATCCAAAAATCTCTGTAAATGCTCATTAAAATTATTATAAGAAATAAAAAAAAAAGAATACCAGTATCCGAATAAACTGTTCATACTATTTTCTATATGGTAATATATGCATTTGTAATACTTAATTACACTGACCCTGGTAGAGTAGTCCACAGGGAATTGTACTGCTAAAGGCTAAGCCCCTCTGGTAGTCAAAAACACCAGCGGAGTAAGATGTGCAATTTCTCTCATGTAAATTATAGTATCAGAAATGCAACAGAGAGTTGGCTGAGTCCATTCCAACCTAACAGCAATGAAGTTTTTTTAGCTGCTATGTTCAACAAAAGACTTAAATTTGTTTTTCAGTTCTTTCAGCTTAAGAAATGCAGAGCAAGTTCTTCCCTTTGTATTTGCCAATTCCAGCTCTCTGCACATTCCATTATAGTACTTTACTTTGTCCTCCCGGGCTGCCCTTCGAAACTGTCTGTTCAGCTTTTTCACTTCACATGTTTTCATTTAGAAATGGCTTCTTGACACTCCAGTGCAATTTTTAGTCTCTTCGGACATCCACTTCGTGTTTTTTTTTTCTTTCTCCTCTGTTTTTTTTAACAACCTTTTGCTTTCTTCATGGATATCCTTCCACAACTCATCTGGTCTTCTATAAATGGTGTTCAGTGTCTCAAATCTAGTCTTAAGATGCTTATGAAATTTCAATGGAATTGATCCAAGATCTTAGTTCCTGTGGACTTATATGGCATCAGGATTGGAGGGAAACTCAACAATAACTTGTGTCATGCAGATGACACAGCCTTACTTGTTCGAAGCGAGGACAACTTGAAGCATTTGTTGCAGAAGATCAAAGAATGCAGGCTTCAATATGACCTATATCTCAGTATCAAGAAAACAAAGATTCAGGAGCTCTGGTGGCCTAGTGGCAAGGAGCTGCAACTACAATTCCAGAGGCGAACGGTTCAAATCCACCAGATGCTCTGCCGGGGAAGGAGGGACAATCTCCTCCTGTACCAGTCAGATCTGATTTGACGGTACACGCAAACAAAAAATATTTAAAAAAAAAGAAAACAAAGATTCTTACCACTGGACTGGTAGGCAACATCATGATGGATGGAGATGAGACTGAAACCATTAACAGCTTCATCTTGCTTAGATCCACAATTAAAACCCCTGGTATAAGCAGTCAGGAAATAAGGAGACACAATGCACTGGGAAAATCTGTAGTTAGGGACTTTTCCAAATTATTGAGGATTAGTGATGTCAGTTTGAGGACCAAGATTTTTCTGATTTAGGCCATAGTCCTTCCGATTACTAGCTATGCATCTGAGACCTGGACAATGAATAAGGATGACAGAAAAAGAATTGACGTGTTTGAGCTATGGTATTGGAGAAGAGCACTGAACATCCCATGGACAGCCAAGAGAACAGATATCTTGGAGAGGGTGCAGCTGGAGTGCTCTTTCGAGGCAAGAATGACGAGGCTTCATCTCACATACTTTGGACATATTGCTAGGAGGTGCTGTTCCTTGGAGAGGGACATGATATTGGGAAGAGTGGAGGGTCAGCAAAGAGAAGAAGACCCTCAAACAGGTGAACTTAAACGGTCACTGCTGCAATGGGCTCTTCTGTGTCAGGAACCGTGAAGACGGCATAGGACAGGACTAGGTTCAGATCTTTTGTTCATAGGGTTGTTATGAGTCATACTCGACTGGATCAATGACATATAACAACTGTTGATATTTTAATCATTCCAATCGTTTCTCTTTATAGGTACCGGTTTCTTAACAAGACTGAGAGCTCTCTGCTAACAATGTCATCACATACTGCTTATCCCCTTTGGCAATTAAGAAAAAGTCACATGAACGCAAAAGCAGAGTCTCCCTTATTTCATACTCACAGTTGCATCAAACTCACCTCTCACTCTTTTCCTCTACTGTATCCTGCATTTTAGAGGGCAATCCTGTACACCGGTCACTCACAAATTTTCCTTCTTCTAAGCCTAATTTGTTCCCATTGTATTTTTCAGTCATTATTTTGATTGATGAATGATCAAAAGCAGGAGATAAATCTTCTTTAGAAAGTTCTCTCCATTGTTTCT